AAATCTTTATTAATTATTGATTTTAATAATATATATTTAATTTACAATTTTATGAATTATGTTTATCAATTTCAACACATTATTAATCAAGTAACAAATATAAATAATTAGTAAGAAATAAAAATTTTATTATTATTAATATAAAATTTTCCTATAAAATTTAAACAAAATAAACTAGGAGAAAATTTTTCCTTTGTAAATCATTTTATTTCTTATTTTTCTTCACTATAAAAAAATCTTTAAAAAATAAATAAATATATTTTTTTATATATTTAAAATTTACAAAAAAAAAAAATTAATAACTAATTTTTTTTTTTTTATTTTTATCTAGTGTTGCATGGCTAAATATTTATTTTTCATACATCTGTTACTTTTTATTCTAGGAAAAGTTAATAATACCTTTTATTAACCATACACTGATTTATTAAATTGTCTATTCAATTACATTGCTAGTATCAAAAAAACTAAATAATAAAGAGCATGTAAAGTATACTCTACTTAATTCAACTTTGATTTAATTAGAATTTGAATTTAAAATATATATTTTTATTAATCAACATCAACTACTACTTATTAGTTAATTTTTTTTAAAATTTATACATACTCAAAAATGCAATTTCCTTAATATTATATTTTAACTTAAAAAAAATAGATACTCCAAAGGAATTTGTACATCATACTACAGAAAAAAAAAATTAATTTTTTATTTAACTCATAAAAAAAAGCATTACCATAATATTTTCAAGTGAGAATTATATTCCCAAGAAAGAAAGTTATTATTATTTATTTAATTTTTTTTTAATGTATTCACTTTTAGTGCAGTGTATATATATTTTTTTTTTTAGTATATATACCTTTGAATAGCTATTTTGGTGTACAGGTTTATGAATAAACACTATACCCGCAATTTAGCATGCACAAAATAAAATGTTTTTACTCTGTTTATTCATGTAAATATTATATAAAAGAGTTATATAACATTATTTATAGACTCATACAGTGAAAAAAAAAATAAATAATAATAAATAATTTTTTTGGTGTATATTTAAAAAAAAAAATTTATATATATTTTTTTTTTTTGTAATATGACATGATATGAAAAAAATTTATGATAATATCTTTTTTATTATTAAAAAGAAATATAAAAAAAAAAAAAAATGTAATCTTAAAAAAAATTCCTTTTTTTTTTTTTTTTGGAAATATGTGGGTTAGTGTAGAATGCATATTTTTAAGTTAATATGCAGTATTAAAGAAGTTACATTTTGGAGTATTATGTAAAATAAATGAAAAAAATAATTAAATATTAAATAATATTTCATGTTGATTAATAAAAATAAATAATTTAAATTAAATTATAAATAAATTAAATTTATATGCGCTTTATTAATTTGTTTGATTGACAGTAGTAAATCCATTGAACATACAATTGACAAATCACATGGATAACTATTTATTTTACATACAACTATTACTTTTTATTTTCAAAAAGGTTAATAGTTCCTTTATTAACCATAACTCTTTATACTCTTTATTAATTTGTTTGTTAATTACTATAACAATTCATTGAGGGCACAATTAATAAATAAATTATGGAAACTATAGACGAAAAAAAAAAAAATTAAAATAAAATAAAATAAAAATATTTTTTTTATAGAGGTTAGAATTAACTAATTTAGGAGTAAATAATTTTTTTGACGTTTGAAAAAGAGAATTTTAAACTTACAAAGATAAAATTTTTCTATTTATGATACTTATGTAATTTAAATTAATGCTTTCATAATTACTTATTTTCGATAACTAAAAAGTAATAGTTTGGAGTTGCTAAACATTATTCATAATATCATAAAAAATATTTAATTAATAATAAATTGCTAGTGGGGGGGTTTTGTTTGTAATAAAAATATATGATTTTCATTAAAGTAAATAAATTCCTCTTGAAAACAATAAATGTTCAATGAAATTGACTATAAATACAGTTCACTAAAATTTAGCATTTAATGTCATATTTAAATTCACTAATATATTAAAGGAAACTTTAAATCTTTATTAATCTGTTTGTTCAATATTCTAGCAACATCGTTAGTAAAAGGTTTCATTAACCTTTTTGCAAAATAAAAGAACTAGTTAAATAAAGGATACGTAGTTGGCCATGCACACAAAAAAAAAAAAAAAATGATCAATTTTTTTGTTTGTATTTTTATAAAAAAAAATAGAACAAAGACCATCAGGAAAAAAAAATTGATAAAAAAAAAAAAAAAAAAAAAAAAAAAAAGATATTATTTTTCTTTTTTTTGGAAACGAAGTATGATTTTAATGAATTTTGTAAGAGAAAATTTTATACATATAACAATAAATTTTTCACGTAATTTATATTTAGATAATTTTTTGTATTGTCACTAATTGTTTATGTTTGTTAATTCAACAGCAATATATATTAATTACTTAATGTAACTCATAATAAATGAAATAGTAATTAACAATTAATTAATAATTAATGTTCAATAGGGATTTAAATTTTTAATAAAAATAAGGATTTTTATTAAAGTAAATAAATGCCTATTGAAATAAAAGAATGCTGAACGAAGTAGAGCACATAGTTAAGAGTTACTCGTTCAAAGCATACAAAAATATATATAAATATACAAAAATCGTAGAGGCACCTCTACATGCTCTTTATTAATTGCTTGTTCAGTACTATAGTAAAGTCCCAGAACACCCAGTTAATAAATTAACTAGTGAGTAAACATTGTACTCAGACGTTGTATAAAGTGACTTAATTTTTTGCTCAATGATTTATCTAATGAATTCACTTATTAATTGAACCATTTAATTCTTTTCTTATATTTTAAACAATAAAATTATTAAAGAAAATGTAGAAAAATATCTAATATGTCAATTATTATAAAATTACTTCTTATGAATAATTATAAAGCTTTTATATAATTTTCTGTATACTATGAAATAAAAAAACATTTTTTATATCTTGACTTTTTACTTATATTTTTTAATAGTTTTGTTAAAAATTATGTTTTAAAAAAAATCGTATCACAAGAAATCATTGAAATTTTTTTTTTTTAAAAGTTAATGTACATTTTATTTTGTATAATTTTTTTTTTTTTTATACATATTTTTATATTCAAAATTTTCAAATATCTTATATTTACTGGAATCTTCTATAGGGAGTTCTTATTATGGTATTAAAATTTTAAAAAAGCAAAAGATATCTTATATTGATAAAATATTGAAAAATCAAAATAAAAAGGAGAATATATATATATCTATACTAATTTTAGTTGTAAAATGATATTTATGTTAGAATGACTAAATTTCATTAACATAATTTTCTTGGATGAACATTTATTTACTTTAATAAAAATTATTATTTTTCTAAAAAAATTGAATAGCACTTAAAACTATAAATTAAATAAATAATAAACTCTTAACCCAAATTAACAAATTTATATTAAGATTATTAATAGTATTTTAAAGAGATCAAAAAGTTAAATATTTGTCAGTATATAGTGTTATTAACCTTGTTTTTAGCTTTAATAAATATTAATTAAAAATATATTCAACTTTTTTTGTGCATGTAATTTATACAAGATATATATGTATAATTAAAGATGTACAGTATAGGACTCTAGAAATAGTGTGAAAAAAAAAAGATCATTCCTTTATATTTTTGGAATACACACAAAAAAATATTTTTTTTTTATCATGCATATTTAAAAAAAGAAAACAAATTTGCATAAATATGTACGCTTGATAATTTTTTTTTAATTTTTGTTTTATTAATGATATAAAAAAAAAAATTATTTATTTATTTTTGTTATATTGTGGAATGAGAAGAAATTATTTTAATTTTATTTTCGCTTAATGAAGAATTATATATGTAATGGAGTGTTTAATATCTTATAAAATGTTGATATGATTATGCGAATATTAACTTAATATTAAAATAAATAATAAAGTAGAAATTAACTAATAAATTATTATAAGTTAAATTAAGATTATATTCATTTCAATAAACAACATAATTATGGATTTTCTACATGCTTTTATTAAATTTACTATTCATAGAATTACAAAGGTATTAATAGCATATGAATAAATTAAATACTAGCGAAAACAAAATCCTTTTTTGTTTTTGTTATAACTTAGGATTTTATATTTTTGGTTTAAATATCAATTTGAATGGATAAACTTCAACACAATTCAATAAATTACAAAGGAAAAAAAAAAAATATATAACGTTAAAATTAAAACTATAATTAATAAAGAAATATATAAAAATAAAAAAAAAGCAATAAAATTTTTCATTTTTTTTTTTTTTATTTTATTTTTTTATCTATTTAATATACATGATTAAACTATGTTTTAAGTATAAGTTATTAATATTTCATATAGGATTATTAATTTTTTTTATTTTCCAAATATGTAAATATAGAGAGACATACACAAAAGAAACAATAAAAATACTGAGAGGTAATATTTTTATTGAAGACATTATGTTTATATAGATGTAAAATGTTTATTTAGGTTTAATGAGCATCCATTGCTTAGATTTATATGATATTAACTAATTAAGCACACAATTAGATTTAATTGAAACTTATACATAAAATTTTAACGATTTAATTTAGTAAAAAATTCTTTGTATTCTCTTAATATGTTATATACTTACGATTACCCTTTAAGATATAATTAAAAAATAATTTTAGTAGAAAAAAAACAGTTATTAAAAATTATTGTGACAATCTATTATATTTGACATAGCAATTTAAATTTTTAAATCAAATTTTAAAGAATTAAAATTAAAAAATCCTACATGTGTACTATAATAATGATCTTCATTGTTAATAGTATTTACTGTGCATACCTTTATAAATCTATGTATATAATTTTTCTCAAAAAATATAAATTCAAAAAATTTACAAATTATGAAAGTACAAAAATGATTACATAATTATAAATTAATTGTATATTTTATTAAAAATAATTTAACTAATAATATCTAAAACATAACTCCTTATTCTATATGCCATTTTTTCAACATCTTCTGGTAATGTAATATTTTCTGTCTCTAATAAATAATCAGTTTTATCTTTCGTCATATCAATATAATTTATTTCATCTTCCTGCACATTGGAATCAAGAATTTGCATTGAGATCTCATAAACTAATTCACTCTCAAGACGATAAATTTTCAACATATTCGAAATTCTAGCTTCTGATATTGTTTCTAAAGATACAAGTCTAATGCATTCTTTTACTCTAATATACATATTTCTAAGTTGAGGATATGACAATGAAATATTGCTTCTTTTAGAGTAATCATTTATTGTTTCCATTATAAGTTTAGAATCATAGAAAACATCTCTTGCTGTTTGGTAGTAATTTGCACTATATATTATATTTAGTAAATTTTCTATGACTTCATACTGTAATTTAGAATATAATCGAACATATTCCTCATTCTTCCAAGGAGGATTCTTAAATCTTTCATTATAAGTATTTATAGCGCTTTCAACAAATTGGCTTATTCTGGTAGCTATCTTTGTGACAACACTATCTAATAAACTGATATTTTGCATAATTAATCTTCTTTGAACTATTTCTAATATTCTATCCATATTATCTCTATTATTAATTTTTACTTCTTCATCACCAGTAATTAAACTTTTCAGTAATTCTTCAGTTGCTTCTCTCTCCAATTCAAGAATTTTTTTGAAAAGGGTTTTCCTAGTCTCAGGTGATTCTAAAGAAAATTCTATAGTACGTTCAGTCATTCTGTTTATTATATTAAACATTTCAGAAAGAGGTATATTTATTCCTTCAAAATGAAATCTACTGTTAATTTTTTCAAGCATAGCTTCCATATTACCTGTAGCTTGTTCTATGCTATAATTTTCATTATACACTTTATTAAATAATTCTAGAGATAAAAGATACTCTGCATATGGGAATTTATCTATGAAAATATCTTTTTCTATAAATGTGTTATCGTCTGTAGTTTTACTATAAAATTCACGTACATATGGAATACTTTCTGCAAGATTTCTTTTTGATATTAATTTCATTTCATGATAATCTATTTGTAATATATGTTTTAATGATTTTGGTGATAAACGAAAGTCAGGAATAAATACTAAAAAGTAAGGAACCAATAATATGATATAAAAATTAAAAGCTTTTAAGATATTCATTTTTATAAAAAAAAAAATTAACTTATGTTATACTACTCAATAATATACATGTAAAAATTAATAAAAACATAAGCATATAATATTAAAATGTTTTCATTGCATATAAAGTAAAATGATTATAAATTAATAAATTATAATTGCTTTTGTCAAAATATTCCATTAAAATTTTTTTACTTCTTTTAATATATCAATTTATTACTTATACAACCTTACAAAATTTTTTTTCTAATTTATAATTTTATCTAATATACAATTAATAATTTATAATTTATAATTTTACTTTTTCTAATTTATAATTCTATGTTAATTTATAATTTTACTTTTCTAATTTTTAACTTCATTCTTTGCAATTTATTATTCTTTTTTAAATTTATTCAAATGGTTTATTTTATAAAAATAATCTTCATTTTAAATTTTCACCTAGCAATTTCTTTTTACTTATGATTAATTGAATGCTGAATTCAAATTTAAAATAAACTCATACTGACTTTGCAACATTAAATATACGTTAAATTACAAATGAATGTATTTTAGAATTAAGCTTTTCTATTAAAGGTCATTTCAAAATAATGAAACTAAAAGTAATTCAAACAATTGTCAAATGGTGCTTAAAAAAAATAAGCATTTGCTTAATATTGAATGTTAAAAATAAATTAAAACAATTGGGGGGATTCATGTTGTAAGAATAACTTTATATTTTAACATAGTAAAATTAAAAATTATATATACAATTTTTTTATTTAATATTTTTAATAAAATGTAATATAAAACTAAATGATACATCATATTTTGT